ACGTGCAGTTGTCGCTGCTGCTCGACTCCTTCCACAGACGAGGTCACACAGGGCACAGGACCTCGCATGAAGGCAGTTTTGACATGTCTCGAGCCAGACGCAAACTGACGCGCGAGCGAACGCATGCACCGTGTTTCCTCCATGCAGGCCTCAACCAACAGTTGCGTGACCTTAATCCATCTGGACAGAACTCAAGCCGTGGATACCGCTAGCCATCATTCTGGACCTGGCTCGTCTGGCAGTTAGACGTGCACTATGGCAGTCAAGGCTTCTACTAAAACATTGTGTACACAATACATCAATCCTCCTACTCTGGCCTTCCCATATTCTTCTCTCCTCACCTAAAGGAGCAATTAGTATGGAAGATCGCAGCCGTTAGGGTTAAACAGTCTTAGACTTAACACGTTGCGACACGTGCACATTTCTTACTAGACTGTACGAGGGTTTACTTGCACATATATGACATAGAGACTGAAATCACACGGTTGTCACTGTACTCGAATACTCACACACCGTATGCACCTACTCAGTGGCACGCGCATATTTTTCCAATTGATTTAACACCAGTATTGATAATCACAACGCGTTCCACATACTCAATTACGCTGCCATTTGCAGAACGAACGCCTCATCATTCAACAACGTAACCGTAGTTCTCCACCCCTATCGTGCTCTCATCGCCGATGTACATGCACAGCACCCATAAAAAGTTCGCTCATTTTGCGAATTTAACGTGAATATCCCGGCAACTTCATATTATGTGGTATATCATATAAGCATCCAGCCAAGCAAAAGTTATTAGCATCGATTGTCATTATTAAAAAGGGTAGTCTGCCTTTCTGACATATTTAAAAATCCACAAAACTTACAAAATTAAAGTATATTACATCATCTTCAAAACATATTACAACGCAATTCATACTCGATAAGTAGACAAAATCGACAGTTGCTTGGAGAACTTCGTCGGAGGAATGGCGTACGCATATTGCGCGCATATATGTTCTAGTCCATTTAACTGCACTTACTCGCAGAAATCATGTTTCCCAGGGAATCTAAAATACATTAATAGGAAGGACGAGTTAGGTTAATTGCGTGAAAATACAGATTTTGCAATACAGCTTTCACTGAGCATTTACCAGCATAAGGCATTCGGGACAATACAACATATAGTTAGAGGCTATCGGTTGTCTGGCGAGCCGGTTATTCAATTGATCTGAAATCGTCAATCACCTTAAAAGCGTATGCCCACTGATGTCGCATGCATGTTTGTCTCAGTGCGTCTGGCATCACACATTATTACGGAGCATACCCTCATCAGGATATCAAAACTCGAACTTATGGAACATTACTCTAAAGAGTATTCCCTGCTATTTTTGCGGCATTCCTAATTATATTTATATCCGAACATGATTGTAAGAGAGGAGTGTACAAGACTTATTTATGGTAGATTATTTTTCGGCGGATGCTACGGATTACTCGGTGCGGACATAATAGAGTGTATGATATAATCGAATGCTAACCGCACGTTGAATAAAACTAATATTTAATTTTTTGAGGGAGGGAACTTTGCGTATACTTGCGATTGTTTAATTTTTGTTGCATCTAAAAAAGAAGTGAATAAATGTGAGCACTAATACTTTGGCGAACCGGCAGTACAGACGAAAATTCAGAGAAACCTCTTTGTGTAAGACCAGACGAAATGCGTGCTTATCTCTCTCATCCTCGACCTACCCTGATTTTAGGCCAACCGGTTTTGATTCGCTAAATGAATAAATAACTGCATTTCTTGTAACCAAATATGTTTCTAACAGACAAAAATGCAAAT